AGATGTCGAAGCAGATACTCAACCAACTCCTAATAAAGAATCTGAAGTGGAGCAAGTTACACCTGAGCAGGTGTTAAGGAGATCATCCAGATCCATCAGGGCACCAGATAGGTATTCACTTTCATTACACAATCTATTGCTGACTGATGAGGGGGAACCAGAGTCTTTTGATGAGGCCCTAAAGGTGGAGGATTCGATCAAGTGGGAGCAAGCCATGGATGATGAGACGAGGTCACTTGAGAAGAATGACACATAGGTATTGACTGAGTTACCTGAAGGGAAGAGAGCTTTGCTGAACAAGTGGGTGTTCAGAATTAAGACTGAACCAGATGGCAAATGAAGGTTCAAGTCTCGTTTACTGGTTAAAGGATATTCACAAAGGAAAGGTATTGATTATGCTGAAATATTCTCTCCTGTTGTGAAGTTAACCTCTATTCGAATTCTGTCGAGTATTGTTGCATCAGAAAATTTGCATCTAGAGCAAATGGATGTAAAAACAGTGTTTTTACATGGATATCTGGACAAAGAGATCTATATGCAGCAACCGGAACGATTTGTGATTCCAGCCAAGGAACACATGGTGTGCAAGTTCACCAGGAGCTCGTATGGACTAAAGCAAGCACCAAGGCAGTGGTACAAGAAGTTTGACTCCTTCATGACCAAGAGTGGATTCTGCAAAGCTGAAAAGGATCCTTGTTGTTACTTCAAGAAATACACTGATTCATATGTACTTCTACTCTTGTATGTGGATGATATGTTGATTGTAGGATCTATTATGAGGGAGATTAACAATCTAAAGACAAGGTTGTCTACAACGTTTGAGATAAAAGATTTGGGTCCAGCAAAACAGATTTTGGGGATGAAGATTTCTCGGGATAGATCTGCTGGCACTTTAAATCTATCTCAGGAGTTGTACATTGAGAAGGTGCTGAGCAGATTCAGGATTAATGATGTTAAACCCAGGACTACTCCATTGGCAAATCACTTTAAATTGTCAAAGGAGCAGTCACCCAAGACTGCCGAGGAGCGTGATCACATGACACTTGTTCCATATGCTTCAGCAGTTGGTAGTTTGATCTATGCTATGGTCTGCACTAGACCTGATATAGCACATGCAGTGGGAGTTGTTAGCAGGTACGTGGCGAACCCTGGGAAAGAGCATTGCGAAACTGTGAAGTGGCTTCTGAGATATCTGAGAGGTACATCCAGTACTTCACTTTGTTTTAGCAAAGGCAAGTTGACTCTATAGGGTTTTGTGGATGCTAATCTTGGTGGGGATGTTGACTCGATCAAGAGTACATCCGGGTACATTTACACCACAGGTGGAACAGTAGTGAGTTGGATGTCCAGGCTTCAGAAGTGTGTTTCTCTTTCATCCAATGAAGCTGAGTATGTGGCAATAGCTGAAGCTGGGAAAGAGATAATATGGCTGGCATATTATCTTAAGGAATTGGGCAAGAAGCAGAGCGAGAAGATTCTTTACTCAGATAGCCAGAGTGTCATACAATTGGTGAATAATCCAGTCTATCATTCGAAGACAAAGCACATCAGAAGGCGATACCATTTCACTCGCAGGGCAGTGGAGGATGGTGATATGTGCTTGGAGAAGATAGAGGGGGAAAAGAACCTGGCAGACATGTTGACGAAATGTGTTGATGCTGGGAAACTGAGGTTCTGTAAAACCTCGGTTGGTCTTCTGTAGTTATTTCTACAGATGTTGCAGTGCGGTAAAGATGTTGATGATGAAGAGATTTTTTTTTTGAGAATGTATTTTTTGGATGACTGAGTCAGTCTCCAAGTGGGAGAATTGTTAGTAGTAGAGCGTGATTAATTTTAGGTTTTCCTATTTATTCTCTATTTTAGGTTTTCCTATTTATTCTCTGTAACCAAAAATACTCTGAATTATTAATATGAATATACCTCACCGCCGTGGAAGTTTACTCACGGGGTGTTACCACGAAATATTGGGTTTTCTCTTTCTCTCTCTAGATCTCTCATCTCTTTCTCTTGAAAGTTCTTGTGCTCTTCATTCATCTAGTGTGCGTGCATGAATTCGATCCTAACAACGCCTCGCGCGTATATACAAACATGTGCATATATTTTGGTGAATGAAAAAAGATCATCGTTTAAGAGTTATAAAGTATCAAAAATAAAATGTTTAGGGGTAATAGGATTCCTGTGAAATATTAGTGTGTATTTTAAAATTTGCTAATAGGTTAGGGGGTTATTTAGACATTTTCTCTAATAAAAACATAATGTATTATTAATACATCAAACAAGGTAAAGTATGAAAATTAACATATGAACACGAAAATTAAAAAATAAATACATTGTTGTTAAACGATAAATGAATACACCAATGCAGTATACATATGAATACATTGTTGTTAAAAAAAAGATGGATACATTGAACAACCTAGCAAGGAGAAAAATGAAAAATAATAGAACGTATAACCATCGAAATGTGTAAGTATTTGACTATATAAAAATTGATAAATACAGCGAACATCAATCTCTTTTTGGTCAAGTTTTTCCTATAATACTTAACACTTGGTGTTAACTCAATTATTTGTTTATAAAAATATAGTATTAATACATGCAATTATACTTGTATTGACTAATCAATCTTTTACATTGGATATGTTATTTATGTATCCAGATATTTTTGTATTCACAAATCACAATTTCAACTTGTGTTAATATTACAATATGAGTATCTATGTATATAAGTATTCGTCTATATACAATTGTCAATCACACAACCCTCAAACTCCTTTTACTCTTGGTCTTTCTGTACTATTTTTTTATAACTATATCCATTATAATGGAGAAAACAATATAATTCTTCACTCGAAACCCTATAAAAATAGATGATTCAAATATAATCTTCATATGAATTCACATTATAAAAATTGCTCCTAGAATCATCAAAACGATCTTAAATTAGAAGGAATTTGTGAGGGGGGAGGGGGGTATTGAAAATATGTGATATAGGGACATTGATGAAAGAAAAAGAAGAAAAAGTACTAAAGAGAGTAAACATAGGAAACTAATCAAAGAAAATGTGCCTAGACACAATTAGTTATGCTTGTAATAAATAACTTTCTAATTTAATATTTAATAACCTTCATGATCATTTGTATATAATTAGCTTTGTTATTAATTGTATAGTTATATCCATATAACAAAAAAAAAAGTAAATAAATTATAGCGATTTATTTTAAATGTATATTAATGTTTGCTCTTGTTAAGATCAAGAGCTTATCATCGTGTCAAAATCAATAATTGACGTTCGATCATGATTATGACCCGGGCCACCCAGCCCCTCGTGAGTCTTGCCATAGGCAGGATGTCGACATTACTCAACAATTTCCCTCCCAACACCTACCTCATGCAAATTACTACTCTTGGGAATCGAACCCACAACCTTAGCTCTATACTGCTTCTTTAAATTGTTTTTACAATGCCACATAGAATAAAAAGCCTCCTTAGAATTCCTACACAAGTAAACAAGTTTGGTTTTGAATTTTGGATGGATTTTGGCAATAAAGTAAATAGCACATGAGTTGACAAGAGTCTAGGTAAAGTGAAAGATAAAAAATTGGGGACATAGAGATATAGTTTAATTTCTAAGAATGGAATAAGATCATGAAAGTTGTTAACAAGTACATTGTGATTTTATTAAAAATAAGATATTTCACTCGATTCACTAAAACAATAAAAGTGTTTTTAGGCAAATGATTCTTGATTTAGGAATTGTAAGTAGGATGATTCAATATCTTGAATGATTATTGGTGATACCCAATAATTAAGGACCAAATGAATTTCCTTATTATACATCAAGGACTATAAATGACTAAAATATAGCATTACCCATACATTAAGGACAATTTTAATAATTTTCTTTCTATTGGTGCAAGTCATTTTAATAAGCAATATATTCAAGAGTAATGTGCCATAGATCTAAACTGTTAGACTATTAGAGGCCATTCAGATTGCTAGGGTATGGTATTTAATATGGTGTATTGATAATATTTATTTTAATTATGCTGAGTTTATATATATATATATATATATATATATATATATATATAAAGCATAAACTTTTAAACTTAAGTGTTGAATTATTATAATACTCCTAATTAAAAATACTCAATCTTTTATTTATTAATTTTATTATGTTGAAAGTAGATATATTTTCAAATTGAAGATTTGTGACTTTTTCAATGAGTTGTAACTTTTTCAAAGGGTTGTGATTTATTGACTGGTTTTGATTTTTCTAACAAGTTGTGATTTTTTCAAAGGGTTGTGATTTTTTCGAAGGGTTATGACTTTTCTAAAGGGTTGTGACTTTTCTAATAAGTAGTGATTTTTTCAAAAAAATGTGAGTTTTCGGATGAGACACAATTAACTCCTATTCATACTACTATTTGATAGCTATAAATAAAGGGGTTTCCTAAAACTTTTAAGCTACCCACTCTTCTTCTTCTTACAAAAATCTATAGTGTTATTTGCAAAAATTGCTCAAGTTCGAAGTTGAATGAAATTTGAGGTACCTTACAAAGAGATTTACTATGATTCAAGAGAGCAATAAAATTCAAAGAGATGAAGGAAAACCTTTTTTGTATTCAATCATATGTAACATTACAATCAAGGCTATGTATTTAGATATTAACTAAGTAATTAACTGTCTTCCTAACTGTTTTCTTGAAACAGCCTAATTAACATCTAACTCACTCCTACTTCTTGACTATATCATTACTCCATTGGAAATAAGGTTATAGTAATATACAACAAACTCAATCTGGTACAGAAGCAAGAAGAAACTTGACTGAGAATGTTGAACAAGATAGAGTGGAAGAGGATATAGTTCAAGAACAAAATGTTGTGCCTAGTGGTTCTCATATAATGGGGAATAGAAGGTCTACAAGAGGGAGTCATCCACCAGTTCTTGAGTACATTGCCAAAGGATCCATTCCAGTGTTCCCCACATAATTAAGACTCATACTTGACCTACTAGAAGTCACCTTTTGATAATCATTATTCACCACCATGGCATAAGCCTGATCCACAGTAGGAATAGAAACCATTAAAAAGATTTGACTTGTTGCCTAACTAAATAATTCATTCAACCCCATCAAGAATTGATACAATTTTTGACGATTAAGATGATCTACAAAACCTTTTGATTGTTCACAATTACACCCAGGGGATGGAACCGAAGTCTTAAATTCATCCCATTTAAGCTTAGTAAAGTATACTGATACGGGGTCTGTTTCTTGTTGCAGGGTTGCGATTTCTTTATGTAAATTGAAAGTTCTTGATACATTAGGTTGATCAAACCCTTCCTTTAAGTCATTCCACATAGCTCGAGCTGATGATGCAAATGTCACTCCTCCTAACAAACTCTTTGACATAGAATTTAGAAGCCAAGACAAAACGATAACATTCACTCTCTCCCATTGACCTTTTAGTTCTTCACTTGCATCCTCTTGTTTGAAAGAACCATCTATCAGCCCAATTTCATTTCCAAGTAATGCCAACTTCATTGACCTACTCCACAATGCATAGTTCTCAATTCCAACAAGCTGAAACGAGATCAGATTAACTCCGCTGATATCAACAGGACTCAAGAACAAGGGATGATTGTAATCAACCCCTTGACTCATTTGAATGACGCTTGGATTTCCAGAAACTCCTCCAACACTACTGGTTGTTGTGGTTTGTTCACCAGTCATGATTATAATCTTCCTTCTTCAAATTGATTTGCAGAAGACAATGAGAATTCTGCAATTCTCTAAATTTCAAGACGAAGCAGAGTTCTCAAGATTTTGTTCTTCAGACGCAATACACAGATGAATTTTTTTTATTGTTTATCACCCGCTCTGATATCATGAAGAGATTTACTATGAATTCAAGAGAGAAATAAAATTGAAAGAGATGAAGAAAAAATAGTAACTAATTACCTTCCTAACTGTTTTCTTGAAACAACCTAACTAACATCTAACTCACTCCTACTTTTTGACTATCTCATTACCTTATAGAAAGAGTTGGTCAAAAAATTATAGCAAATCATATAATCAATTCACACTTGTATTTTATCTTACCATTTTCATGAGTTAACAGTGAACGAAAAATTGTGGAAGAGACAATATTACTAAATATATATGAAAAAAGGCAAATGATTTGGGTTAAGATATTTCTCCTTTGTTTTTTTATTTTTTATTTTTTCCCTCAAATGAAGTAGTTTCTTCCTAATTTTGCTAAAACAATGTATATAAATGTAGTCAATTGAATTATTAGTTTTAATGTTAAATTCACTATTTCAAAAATAGATTTTCACTTTTACTTATAATATTATAACATAGTCATGATAATATATACTTATTTTTTAATAGATATGCATGTAAAAATGAAGCAGAGAAAGTAAAGTAATTAATAAGAAGGTACAAATAGATAAGAAAGTAGTAGTTGATCATAAAATGATCTTAAACTAAATTAATGATTCTATAAATAATACTTATATTTTATTCATCTATTAATTTTCAAGAGAAATATGTAGTCACATTATTCATCTATTAATTTTCAAGAGAAATAGCTATTGGTGACATCATTTGAACGTATATTTATTTTATTGTTTTGCTATTTTGTTGGTTAGATTTGTTTACAAAATCGAGTGAAATAAAAAATAATATTATTAAAGAAATATCACTTTCTCTCATATTTAAACTTTCAATGTATTTTAAAATGTTTTAATGATATCTTGTCATTTTGATCTAATTTATTTTTAACTCTATGACAATATGTACAAATAATTTAAAAAGACTAGTCCAATATTCGTTCAATTATAATTATTTAATAAAAAGCTATAATTTAATAATATTAATTCTATTTTAGAAAATCATATACTATATATACAATACACACGTGCAAACTCACGTGCCATAAAGCTAATATATATATATATATATATTATCCTCAACTAAAATGGAGTTACAAAGTAAAAAAAGGGTGTAGGCAACCACCATTTAGCATTTTAATAAGAGTAGATGATGATTGCGCGTGCTGACACGGGCCCAACATCAACATTTTAGGCATATGTTTGTCTACTTGATATTTTGATCTGTCCGCAAAACTAATAGACGCATGAGGACCAACTATAGCAAATATTCAGTAATGATGGTAATATTTAAAGTAGAGGAATTATGCATTAATGAGTGGAAATATTTAGTCTACAATTGTTTAGTAACCAGCAATGCATCCAAACTATGTAGTTGTCTGCTTTGAAGTGCCTGTAGAATAACATAACTGAAAATATAGATGAATGTCACCTTAACCTGCTTCAGAGCAAGTGAAAACTATATAGTTTTCTTGTTATGGGAGGAGCATATTGTGTGGTTTGATACCCACATGAATCAATCAAAAGTAACTTTCTAAGTGTGTGTGCTTGTCGTGTCATTTTTAATATGTAAGGATGAGACAACTAACTCGTACAAAAATTCTCTATATCATCTTTTGCTGTACATTGAACTCCTCAAGATTCATACACCATCGGTGAAAAAAATTCATTTTTTCAGAAGGATCAAATTGAACTTGTTGCTTGTTTCCAAATATAAAGTACACATGTAACTCTGCTTACTGGTCTCTTACTTGGCAATATGTAAGTAAACAATCAAGAGTCATATTTGAAAGAAAATAATAATCACCATTACTTTGTTTATCTAACGGGAAAAAAAAGTTAAGAATCACCCCAAATCAAGGCCTATGCTAAAACAGAAAGAAACTGAACTCCCAAATTTCAAGTTGCGACGTTACCTGAAGAGATGTCACGCTGCTTTGAACCCTAAACCGAAGTTTCACCAAGCTGGTCCAAACCCGTATCAAACAACTCATTGCTTCTTCTCAGAGAAAAAAAAAAGAAGTGTATGCATATATTTTAGATGGATATATGACTCCATGTCTGTAACCCTCGTAACTTTTTTTTCTTGTTATACGTGGAAGGGAATATATGCAAGGTTATCTTCCTTAAGATATGGATCTAAAACCTAATTGATAACACTTAGCGACTTCATATTATATTTTTGTCTAGCAGTTATTAATAATGAGTTGTCAGATTATTTTTGTAAGTTACTTTGGATATGAAAACTTCCTAAAACACAGAGATTTGAATCTTGAGGTCTTACAAAACTGAAAAGCACCCCTTAGTTGAAGAAATCACATTTCTATACAACATTGAGAATGTTCGACTGATCTGTATCAATAAATATCAGAAACATAACATATGTTAACAACTACGAGAATCAGCATAACTGGTACTCTTTTTCCAACAAAAGTAGCTACAAAATCATGAATTGCATATATCAGACCGTAAATCTAGCTACCTCTTTGTAGCCTTACTTTATAGTGAGCATATGTAGGACAAAACAGAATTGGTATGTGGGGGACAAAAACAACTTACAAGGTCAATACTGTATCTTAACATGATAGCTCATACACCCACGTCTGACGCATCCATTATCTTGTATCCTTCCCATTTTCTTTGGGAGCCTCAGCAACAACATCTGCCTCTTGTACTATATAATATAGTAAAGTACAAGAGTGAGATGTTAGCCTTCTAATATACTCCCTCCCTCCCTCAACATGTTCATTTAGTCTCACTTTATCATGAAGATTCATTACATATATATATACATATATATATATATATATATATATATATATTATATTATCTCAACATACACCTAAAAGCTTCAAATAGTGCAGATTGTTGGAATTAATGAATCAATGTTTAGTCTTTCGAAATTATCTCTTAGTTTTTCAAGAAGCCTCTTTAGAATTTCATAGTACATGTATTTAGTAAATTGTGATACATGTGTTTAGTTTTTTATGTAAGACTTTTTATTTTTTATTTTGAGTAGTATAAACAGTAATTTAGTTGATGATTGTAATCATCTCAAGTGGCCTTAAGTAGCCTATAATAAATTTGAGCATTTTCTAAAGATATTATTTTTTCTTCCATATTTCCTACAAATTGATATCAGAGCAGGTTTTCGTTCTTAATCTGGGGTTAGGTGAAGAAAAAAATATGGCATCAAAAACAAATGAGGGTCCGATTCTTCAGTTGTTCTTATCCATTTTTTTTATGGAATTGATTTTGAATACTGGAAGATAAGAATGAGAACACATTTGAAAGGTGAAGATTTGTGGACTATTGTTGCAAATGGCTTTGAAGAGCCAGACAACGATGGTGATCTTACAGCAGCAGAGATGAAAAATCTTGAGGCTAAGTATCGTCAAGATGCAAAAGCCTTGAGCTTTAAATGGGAGTTTCAAGAGCATATTTTTCAAAATTGCTACTTGTGAGACTACAAAGGAAGCTTGGGATTTTCTGGAAACTGAGGTGTATGGTGACGAAAAGGTACGCACTGTAAGTCTTCAAATTCTTAGAAAAGAGTTTCAAATTTAAAGATGATAGAATCTGAAAAAATGATGAATATTGCACAAGAGTCATGAATATTGTTAATGAAATGAGAAATCATAGTGATACAATTTCTGACCAACAAGTTATGGAAAAGATTCTAATTAGTGTCACAGAAAAGAATGAGTACATCGTTGCTATCACTTAGGATATGAAAGATCTTTCTAAGATTTCCATCAAAGAGCTAGTTGGATCATTTCGTGCACACGAGAAGCGAATTTTTTTTGTGAAGATCAACCCAAAGAGACGACTTTCCAGTCTAAAACAAATGAGAATTCTCAAAATTTCTCAAAAAATCATCAGAAGAAAAATCACAAGCCAAAAAAGAAGCAGGATCATGATGGTTCTTCCAAGAAGGTTGAAGAAAAAGGTGAGAAAAACTCTAGCTTTTTTTGTAATGTTTGAAAAAAGACTAATCATAATGCAGGAAAATGTTGGCACAAAGGCAAGCCCCAGTGTAACTTTTATAAAAAGTTTGGCCACGTTGAAAAGGATTGTTGGCACAAGAAACAAGAGCAAGCAATTTTTTGTGAAAAACATGAGGAAGAAAGGGAAAAAAACCTTTTCTTTTCTTCTAAATCTGATGCTTCAATAAAAAGCAATGAATGGTATGTTGATAGTGGTTGTAGTAATCACATGACTGGAGATGAAAAGGTTTTCCTCTCAATTAATAATAGCATCACTACTAAAGTGAAGATGGGGAATGGAACCTTAGTTGATGCGAAAGGTAATGGGTTGTATTTGATCTCTTCTTCCTTTCCTTGTTTTTGGTCTTTTTTTATTCTTCTTTCTATGCATCCTTTGAGGGTTAAAATCAATCTTTCTTCGTCTATGTTGGCTATTCTTGAATTAAAACCTGAGCCTCATGACCCTTTCCTGCATGGGTCCATAACTTCTCATCTTGCTTGGAATTTGATTCGCTACTATTTCGATCAACATGAAAGGATGCGGTAAGTAAATTCATGATGTTCTTTATGTTCCTAACTTGGAAGAAAATTTGCTTAGTGTTGGTCAACTCATGGAAAATGGTTATTCTCTTGTTTTTAAAGATAATTATTGCAAGATTTATGATAAAATTGAGCCAAATCAAGTCATTGTTGAAGTAAAGATGATAAAAAGAAACTTCCGTTTGCAATTTCATTACAATGCATTAAAAAAATGAAATTGTAGATGATTTATGGCTTTGACACAAAAGATTTTGTCCCTTGAATTTTTATGGTTTAAAGCTTCTCAAGCAAAAGGATATGGTGCAAGGCCTTT